CGTATAGAGACATTTAAGAGGGTTTATTCTCCAAATAACTCTAATTTCATGTTGCAGAAAAATTTGTTTAAAAATTGTGTATGATCTCTTGTTCTTGTTCCAAGTTACCTTCCTGTCCACTGATTTTTGCCTCTCACAAAAGCCACAAAGCCTTCCAAGAAGACAGTAAAGGCTTATGTCATGCTTGAGCTTTAGTTAGGCTGAAACTTGAAAGTTAAGTTGCACGACATAAATGGAATGTTTAGGTATTATTGTTATTATTTTTATTACTATTATTTTGATTTATGCCTTAGTTTTAGTTTGTACTGTTTACCTTTTTTAAAGTAATGTGAAATAGATTTTTGTATTTTTATTTATTTAATTTTTTATAGATATATTTGTATGTGCATTTTGAATGCAATTTGGCAATTAAATACATTAAATGGGTTTAGTTTTCACGGTTATTAATGTATGCAATTTCAGCAATACAAATTAACATTTTTCTAAAAAAGAAAACAAATTAGTTGTTTCTTTTAAGAGATCTATCTTATTATCTCTTGCATATTTAGTATTGCTCTTTAATAAAGAAAAATTACTTATCCGATTACTCGATTAATCGATGGAATAATATGTAGAATACTCGATTACTAAAATAATCGATAGCTACAGCCCTAGTCCAAATACAAAGTATTCAAAACGCAGTAGACGAAAAGTACGCAGATGACCTACTACTTATGGCGAGATTCTAAAGGGTGCATTCGATGGACACTTTACTATCCCATGAGGCCACAGGAGAGGATTTGTGATTGGCAGTGACACTACTGACGCTGTAGGTCAGCATCACCAGAATTTGGTTCATACTACATACTTTTTTACTGGTTGCGTAGTAAGTCTGAGTAGTACCTACTCAGACAGAATGTGATTTCGGACACACTGTGAGATTTAGCCCAGATATCTGACCTTTTTATTATATATAGCTACTGCGGGATCATGAAGAACTAATTCAGAACCTTGGACAGCGCCACAGTTCACTGCTGTTGCTTCACTGCACTCTGTGTTTATTATTCCATGTGCAGCATGGACGTGGTGAAAGATTATGCGGGAGAGAGACAGGTTTTGCCTTTTTTTTTTTTTTTTTTTTTTTGAAAGCCATCAATACCCTGTAGTATTTAGTGCTTATTTGACATTGCTTAAAGAAGAGGTGGGGTGATTTTTTTTTCAGTGTGAATGGAGAGAAAAGGGTCTGCTGTCTGTCAGGGAGAAGTACCTCAGTGATTAAATGGTTGGCTAGTTGCCAAATCCCTCTGTCTCTGATTAAATCATGCATCATCTTGCTAATAGAGGAGGTATTAGAGAAGGCAAATAGAGAGAGTTACTGTTACATATGGTCTCAGAAACACACACACATAGGCAGATGCTCCATCAACCATCTGTAACATAAAAACAAGAAAACTAAAGGAGAAAATAATGAAAAACTTCTGTCCAGAAGGTCAGATGTATGTTCAAGAAGAGCAAATTGTCCTCATAACAGCCATATGTGGCCACTTACAGTGGCCGTTTGTCCATTCATGGCATTCAGGCAGATGCAGAACTGGAGAAGTAAACTGATTGCTGGGTAATTTAATTCTCTTGTGATATGTAACTTAAAGGATGAGAACATTTTAAGCGCAACTGCCTGTCACTGTTTACGCTGGTAAAATGGTAGTGGTTTTGTGGAAAAGTGCTTTGGTTAGTTAAGTTAAGTTAGAATAGAGATCAGTAGAGATCATGACTTAGTATGATTGTTGTGCAGGAGATTTTTTATTATTCTTGTGCATTATTATTCATGTATTTACAGTACTGTTCAAACAATTGGAGTAAATTAAGGAAATTAATATAATACTTTTATTCAACAAGGACACATTAAATGGTCCCACTTTATTTTGTGGCCCTGATACATGTGTACTTACATAGTAACTAGATGTGTACATAGTATGTAACCACAGTGTAAGTACACATTGGTACATAGTATCTACAGCTGTAATGTTTGTGTAACTACACACATGTAACAACCCACTGAATGGTTTGTGTAAGTACAAATGTGTAACAGGAAATTGGTAACAACACTTTTTTTTCACTTCACTAAGTACTCGTGTAACAGGACATACAGTATATAACTACATTTTGTAACAACAATATATATAAGAGTAATTGGAACAATCTGATCCAGAGGGAGGAGATGGGTGTTACACATTTGTACTTTCATTACCAAAAAGTGTTGTTACCAATGTCCTGTTACACATTTGTACTTACACAAACCATTCAGTGGGTTGTTACATGTGTGTAGTTACACAAACATTACAGCTGTAGATACTATGTACCAATGTGTACTTACACTGTGGTTACATACTATGTACTCATCTAGTTACTATGTAAGTAACCGGTGTATTAGGGCCTCTTAATATAAAGTGGGACCCATTAAATTGATCAAAAGTGAAAAAGACTTTTATAATGTTACAAAACATTTTTATTTCAAATAAGAAATGTGATCTTTCTATTCATCAAAGAATCCTATCCTGGTTTCCACAAAAATATTAAGCAGCACAATGTTTTTAACATCGATAATAAGAAATGTTTCTTGAGCACCAAATCAGCATATTAGAGTGATTTATGATGGATCATGTGACACTGATGGCTGGAGTAATGACTGCTAAAAATTCAGCTACACCAATACAGGAATAAATTATATTTTAAAATATGTTTGAATATAAAACAGTTATTTAAAATTGTAATATATATATTTTTGAATCTTACCGACCCCAAACCTAGTACTGTAGCTGTTATGGAAAATTTGAGTAATAGCTGTGCTCTAAAATGATAGCAATGGTATTTGTGTCTTTAAACTAAAAGGAAAGCCTTCTGACACCTAGATTTTCTTGGCCATTGGCCCCATTTTTTCTCCTCTTTAAGTTAATCTTATTACAGTGGCATTTAATCAAAGTCTTTTCTCCTTCACCAAATCATTAATTCCATATGAACCATAATGTCTTTAATTAAGCGACTTGTCACACGGTTCATCATCTCTTAAAACAAGGTCTCACACACACATGCCCACTGTTCAGAGGAGTGCAAAATGCTAGTCAAATAAGAAAAAATACATATAAGAGAATGTATATATAGCAGTGATATTGGTGTACATGAAGACATTGATGTACTATAAATTATATATTTAAAATGTTTTAAAAGGGCACTTTTGGCATGCAGGAACATTGTGTGTCAAAGCCCTCTGAGATTACGGAGTGTTGTCTGTGTACGGGCCAAGAGGATTCTTGACATTAGGTTATGAGTGTGTAATTTGTTTTCACACAATAAACTCATAAACACACATTCACATGCCCACATGCACAAGGTAAACCCCTTCTTGTGGGTTAACAATGGGAGGCCAGAAATAAGCAGCCAAAAAACAAGACACCAACCGCCAAACAACACTTACGCTCTTACACTCTGGCCAGCAACACAGTCCTCTGAGCTCTCTGTCTGTCTCTCTCTCTCTCTCTTTCTCTCTCTGTCTCTGTCTCTGTCTCTCCCTCCACTCCCCTTTGTCTCAGTTGAATTCAATTTGGGCTTCTTGGGAAGGCAGCTTAAGCGTAGACAATCTTATCAGCATTTGTGCAAGCAGTGAAAAGGAGTGATTGAAGCAGGCTGAAGAGGCACTGGCGTGCCCAGGCCTTTCAGGAGTCTTAATTGCATGTGTGATTGTCAGGACAAGCCCCCTCCCTGCAACCCCCCTTTCTCTACCTCTCTCTCTCTCTCTCTCTCTCTCTCTCTCTCTCTCCTCCTTTGTGGTGCGTGTTTAGGATTACTGTCTACGATTCCCGTGCTGAGCGGGTTTGGGCTCTTTTCTGTCTGAAGGTGGATAGGTGAGTGATTGTATTGTTGGATAGAAAGAAAGCACAGAAAGCGATAGGTTGGCCTTGGAGGTAAAGCTGGATTATAGTATACGAATGGAAACTTGCTATGGAGCTTTTTTACTCACCGGATTTAGGGGAGGGACAGAGACTTAATTCAAAAACGTTTACACAGAAAGGCAAATGACACATGAAATGCATAAGCACAAGAAATATGGTTCATGCTCTTGTATACGTTGTATAAACAACAAATGTAACCCTGCATTGAACTGAAATCCTCTGCTATATATGTGCGTCATTCTTTTATATGTTGTCTGGGCTGGAATGCATGTTACAGGAAATATTTTATTCGCTATAACATCATTAGGACCTTTCAAGCAACTTTTGTCTCTGTGTCTTTCTCCCATGTGCAGTCGTATATGGAGGATCACCTGCAGAATAAAGATCGTTTGGATAAGGAGTGGGAGGCTCTCTGTAGTTACCAGGCTGAGCCAGCAGCATGTGCGGTGGGTCAGGAGGAACAGAATGTCCAGCGCAACCGCCCACACGGCGTCCTTGTGTGTGAGTGCTTCGCAAATTGTATCTGCCTCGAGTGAATTTATATTTGTTTCTATGCCGTAGGACGGCAGCACAGCCTGTCACAGGCTAATATGTTCTGTTTTGATTAATTAAAAAGTCAGGGGCCTCTTCTAATCATACACTGATCAGAACTTTGTATCCTTTTCAATTTTATAAAAACGTGCATTCTCTACTAAAGGAGTGATCACATGTTTAAGAGAAGTGTGTTATTGAATTGTTGATGCTCTAGTAGTTACGTCATCATCGGTCTGTCTGTCTCTGAATACTGTAGATGATCACTCCAGGGTCATCCTGAAGCCGGAGAATAACCAATCCAGATCTGATTACATCAACGCCAGTCCCATTGTAAGTAGCCACACTCGTTATTTACATATTTACGCATCATGTCCATTAATGGGAGTGAAAACACCTCTCACAGGTTGTTCACATTACTCTTTTTGAAATACAGTGTTTATGTCTGTTTGTGCCAATTGTTTGGACTATGCCAGGTCTATTTTAACCTCTCCTTTGAAATTGGAGGCTTGCTGTTATATTTTATTTATTTGCTCATAGACATGTTCCCCCTTTCTGCTTCCCTTCTTTACTCTGTGGATCAACACCGACCTTTCTCAGACTGTTAAATATGCTCTTTTATGTATATGTAGAAGCACAGACACTGAGAGACTGAGAAAACACAAAGAAAAAAAACTCATGAAAGTAGGTTCAAATAGTCAATCATTCATTTCTAGAACAAAAATAAACATGACAAACATTATGAGCCAAAAGGAAGGCTTGTCTATCAATGTAAGCTTTTTGTGTGCGTAACATAAGACACAGAGCACACGAATGCTTTAAAAACAAACACTGTGATTTCATCTCCATCACAGACACAATAATTTTTGTTTTGGCCCCTTAATCAGTACATACACATAATGTTAATCAGTATAATACCTGTGCAGCAATATCACACTGAGAAAGTCAAACTGAGTAATTTTTACATGCTGTTATTTTTGGACTCCAACTCGTCAAAAGATGAAACAAAAGGCACAAGAGAGTCAGCCCTCCCTCCTCGAGCGTTTCACGCTGAAGTCGGGGTTGGGTGCACTGATCTGCTGGTGCAGAGACAAATGCATGGAGGCGCGGTAATTAAAGCGCAGCAGGGATTTGGCAATGTGCGTTTCAAAAACTGTGATAATTATGTCTGTCAATGTTTGTAGCTTCTTTCTCATTAGCTGCAAGAAAGAAAAAGGCCTCAAAGTAAATCATTTGTGATATTTTTCACAACCTCCTCACACCAACACCCTTTCTTTTGGATTTGGTGACTGTTTGGGGTTATGCTCTGGATCTGGAGTTATGCTCTGGATCTCTATTTCTCTATCTTTCAGTCATACAAACACAAAAAAAGTATGAGTAGTGCAGATAAAGCTTTTTGGATGATATTTAGAAATGCTTCATTCCTTTCAGTAATACTGACTAAATTAAACCAGGTTAACAATATTACATTCTTTGTTTTGTTCCATCAATCTTGACTCCTAATAATTTTGTTTCGCTATAAATAATATTTCACATATCAAGGTAATGTATCATGTGAACAAATCATACTTTGCCCTAATCTTCTTCTTTCTTTGATTTTTTTCCCTTACTGAGCATCAGAGGATGCTGAATTTACTGATAAACTGCTAAAAGTCTCTGATCTCTTAAAGTAATTAGACTTTAAGAGTATGATAATCTCTCCGAGTGTGAAATGACAAATCGACTATAATAACACCCTTTATAGAGAGCGGGTAGTCAAAAAACAGGTTCATATAGACTGCCGGCATTAGCCAGCTTGTGTATATATAATTGTTCTACCCTTAAATTGCCCTTGCCAACAATTAAGGTTGTGCAAAGCAATTATATCCATTTTCTGCCATGCTAATGGGTGTGCGTGTCATTCACTGTAACCATGGGGTTTGAATCTGTCTCTCTCATTCAGTGGTGTTTGATCTTTTTGTGAAGCTATTGAGAAATTAGTGCAGAAGTACTGAACCATGCAATTACTTTAGCAAAAGTTTTGAAAGGCTTTGTGATCGGCTTTTGTGCTTTAAAGTCATATGTACTCCCAAACGCACTCACAAAGACAGACATGCACACTATCAAGCACACACTCACACAGATAGCTGTAGCATTTGATCGATGTGGTGAAATATTCATCAAATCAGAACTTTTGGGATGTGAAAAATGGCCACATTTATCAGAAGGACTATACTTTTTAAATGACCTTAGCTTGAAGCTTCAAGGACACACACATACACATACACATGAAAGAGCAGCAGGAATTCTAGAAGTGTTTGGAGCTTGTGTTACAGTCTCGTCCACTCTCTCCTTCCTTCATTTAATAAGCCCAGGTCTGACACCCTAACAAGACTGCATACCTTACCCCCTTACAGCAAACACGCTTTTGTTACAGCTCAAAATGAGCACATTCCAATCTGATGACAGCTTTCACTTCTTTTTGTAAGGAGGCATTTCATTTCAGGTCAGGAGGATGTTCTCTGGTAATGCATCCAGACCATAATATCTTTCCTCTAATATGAGTGCGGACAGGATGTTGTAATCAGTGATTTATTTATTTATTTATTATTTTTTTATTTTTTTGCTTCTTTTTTTCTTTTAGACCTGAAGAATAATGTGTTGATGTTCTTTGTGGACTAATGGTCAGAGCGAAAGACTGGATGCCATACATCAGACACAGATAATAAGAGCTAAATTCTGAATTGTGGTCATCACAGCTTGTAGACACGGATTAATAAATAAGAATTGATCAATAGCATGCCCCATTCTGACCATTCTCCTGTACTGCATAAATCAGTAATTGCCAATCGAGTTTACGTGTACCCCAGAATATATGTGTGACTTCTTGGGCTTGTTTTCCATCCACAGTAGATTCAAAATTTGATTTTTATTTGGCACATACACAGTTACATACAGAATACAACCTGCAGTGAAATGTAAATCTGATTTGCTCCAAAGACTGTGCTTAAAATATATAAAGATAAACAGAGAAAAAATAACGAAAAACAAAAGTAAACATGAAGCAAAGACGGTATACATCAAAACTAAGAAAACAATAAAAAGTATATTTTTTTTATATTAATGTTATAATGTTAAATTAAATTTGTAATAATGCTAAATTTAATTCAGTATGATATTATTTAAAAAATAATATTAAGGTAATATGAAGTATTAGTATGAACAGAACAAAATGTTAAATCTAAGAATGTTCTTCATTTGGTAAAATCTAAATTAGTTGGTTTTATGCAAGTCAAAAAACGAATCAATGTAAATACATGGGGTTATACAAAACTACATTTAAGGGTTAGATCAGGTAGAGACAGCTCCTTATGGTAACAATTAAAGATACCACTTTTAACAGTGAACACATTCTGGTTTGTGTCAGTGAAGAGATACTTGAGTCTTACTGATGGAAAAAAGGTTGAGAAACACTGACAGTTTGACAGTTTGCAAACCTATTAGATTAAATAAGTTAAAAGAGGTGGATTGTCCCTTTGCTGCGGTTTAAAATCTTCTGTTGCTTGTTATGGTTTTGCTGCTGATTAGCTGAAGTGCTGGTGAAGCTCTTGCCTGTCATTATTTAATCGTGGCTGGTGCATTATGAATGTCATAGTCCATAACCATATCAAGTTTTTTTTTTCTTTCCATCATTAGCTTTTTTCCATCAGGACAGCTTTCACTCAGACAGGCACACAATTACACACAGACACCCACCTCCAGCCACTGAGCTTCTCATCAATAAATGCGTTTGATTAGAGAGATGCCTTGCTTTACTCCCAGAGCCGGCTTTAATCAGAGGTATTAAAGAATGCACATGCTCGGAGAGGACAGACAGGGGAGAGAGAGGATGAAGGGGTGACTGGAGATGTTAGAACGATATAGAAATGGAAGAGAGAGTGGATATGGAGTAGATAAAAATGAGACAGACAGGAGAGAGGGGTCGGGAGAGGGGAGGTGGTCGTGAGAGAGACAACTGCTCTCATTAGTGACAGACCTCTGTGCCTTCTCCTTATTTGATTTGCTTTTCCTTTTTTTTTCTCTCAAGCTTTTTAACTCCAAACAGAAATCGTGGACATTCTGTTTCTCTTGGCAGCAAGTTTGTTTACCCCTTCCCCAAAGATTGGAGCGGACCAAAGAAATGCTCAGAAAGCAAATAAATAAGATCAATGAAACAGTTTACATAAAAAGTGCAGTTTACATAGAGGCTTCGTGTCAGAGGAGAGCAGAAACTTGCATCCTTTCCAACATGCAGCTATATTGTTTTTGATCTTCTGTAGAGTAGATATATTATATCAACAGACTGCTAAGTGTTTTATTTTCAGTATTAATTGAAAATGTTCGTTTCATGAATATTCATGAAATATTTACTCTGTCTTTTCACTTTTAAGATGGACCATGACCCCCGAAACCCAGCCTATATCAGCGCTCAAGGTCCTCTTCCCTCCACAGTGGCAGACTTCTGGCAGGTAAGATACTCAGTGTTGTCCACGTCTAATCCATATGGATAAAACACAAGTGCAAGAATAAAAATGTTAGGTTAATGATTCATGATTCAAAACCACTATTCTGAGTAGATAGATCCTTTTTACCATTTTAGACTTAGGCAAATCCATTAGCAAGAATTGCTTTTGCGTTCATATTGGTTTCAATATCTATCTGTAAAAGCAAATTGAGAACTTGAAATATATTGTGAAAGCATCTGTGCACCATATGAACTCTCAAATAAGGCAAAACTGGGCCTATTTTGGTCATGTTAAGGGCAAAAAGGACACTTTCCATCTGCACTCAGAAAGCTGCTTCACGAACATCACCATATTACCTTAATTAGGAGAGCCAAAGGTCCCATAAGGTTTGGGATTCCTCACTGCACAGTGTCAGTGCTGAAAATACAAGTGAGGATCTGGGGGCGTATTACAGAAAGTTTCTTATCTTAGGTCTTAACTTAAGATGTGATATGTTAAATTAGGATTTTTCAGAAATTCGTATTACAGAAGCAAATCTTAACTTGATTTGGGATTCTTATCCTATCTTACAAAATCGTATCTTATTTCTAGTTAGGAAATCAAGCTCGACAATCCACTCTCAGGTCTGTTACCAAGCAACCAACACTGCGCGAGCTGCTGATGAGGTAAACAAAATAATAGAAGCTACTTCACTTTGAAAATCGCCTTTTGCAAAAAAACGTAAGGCATTAATCAGTCTTTGAACTATAACCGTTAATGCTCCGTGACGCTTTGTTAGTCTCTGCAATGCTGGTTGCAGTTCCTGTGCTAACTGTAATATAATGTCTGTAATTACTTATAAGTGTTTTGTCATCAAAATGTAACACATCTTCAGGGTCCTCCAAGAGTCTTTCTACCATTAAACATCTCCGTTCTTCATTTTCAATTATTAATAAATGTAATACCATTATTGGACAGCGCAATTGTAAGCGGTTTTTCCGTTCGATTTCAAATAATTTTGAAGTTAGGACAGCTGTGGGGTTGTCCTAAAGTTAAGACAGTTTTTAGGAGTTTTTGTCAAGTTAGGAGGTTTCTGTAATACCCACTTCCTATCTGTAGTTAAGATAAGAAAACACACTTAGGAAACGCTGTTCTGTAATAGCTTTTGTCCTAAATGTGGTCCTAACTGAAATTACCATGGTTACCAAACAGATAAGATAAGATTTTAAAGTTAGGATCTTTATGTAATACGTCCGAGCTTTTTCTGCTTTGAATGAGAATGTCTCTCACTATAATAGTTTTGATTATAACAAATAGATTTTAGTGCTTTTATTTATTTGTTTGCATATTAGAAACAGTGTTAATTGCTCAGTTGATTTTAAGAAACACCTAAATGCTTTTTGCTGGCATGTGTAGGATGTTTTTAACTCAATTAATATTTTCCAACCAGCAGATAGCAGCAGCTTTGAACGTGTTTTCTCTTTGTTTCATGTTTGTGCTTTTGTGCTTGTTTTATTGTTGTTGTTGTTTTTTTTGAAGGTTTGATAAGTAGATGGTGTTACAGACAAACCATAATCTACATTTTAATAAATTGACCGTGGTAATGTGTCGCTGTCACTTGACCCTCTATAATCACAAAGCTGTGTTTACTAACAGATGTGGGTGTACACTAATTGATGTTATTGGTTGTTTGAATATGTCATTTTGTCAATTACTGGCAGAAAATTAATGATCTAAATTGATTTAATTCCATGCAGATGAATTATAGACAGTCGGACCAGTTCTGAATCCAAAAAAGGCCATTAAAAGTTCTATTTAAATTCAATCTGAGTACATTAATCCCTGTCAATTAACGTAGTGATGTCATTGTCTCTGTTTCTTCTCATTAATGAAAAGATGATTCATACCTATACGTTTTCTCCTTAATAAAGGGCACGTATATACATGCATATGTACTTATATGTTAAGTGCAAACCTTTTCCTTCGTTAGGCATGGCTTGAGGTTGTAAGACTTTCTCTAATTTGGCATTCACAAAAAAAAAATAGAAACAGTGTTAATTAGTGCTAAGCATTCATGTTGTTCACAGTTTTGAAGTCATTCATTAAAAATTTGCTGGTCTACATCCAAACAGAAACTAATGATTAAAGTGATTATTATAAAAATGTAGTTTAACAAAACTGAATATGACATATTGGTGTTTTAAGTCTTTTTAGATGTACTTCTCTGGAAACATTTATTTCCACTGAACTCCTAAAGACAAGTGATGATTCGCTTTAGGTCCACGTTACAACGGGATGTTTTAATATGAATGTCAGAATTGGAGATTTGTCCACGTCAGAAAAGATCGTTTTTGTTTTTTTATCTTTGCATAATGTTATGAAAAGTTTTCCTCAGGTGGGGAAGGAACTTCTACATCTTTCAAGTTTTATTCACGGAATATTCAATTGTCGCTTTGTGCAATTTTTATTCAGAATTCTGACCAAGCACAGAGCACTCATTCCTGTTCTCTGCAGAGTTTTCAGAAGCATGTTTGTTGGTTTTGTTTGACCTTTTCTCCATATTGCACTGCAAAGCTCAAACTCAACAATATTTGATCACCTGGTCTGGAACATTAGTGCAAGCTCCTCCAATGACCTTCAGTTCCCACTCCTGTATGAAAGAATCAAGTGTTGTGATCTTTGTATATGAGCTCCTCAGTCAGAAAATTTTAAACTACACAAGAAATGTTTTTTTTATATTGCTGAATAACATCATTTGACTTTTAATGTATACAGTGATAAGCATCTAAACACATTTCTGTCTTTATTCCTGTAGCTAATAATGTAAGCTAAAAAAACGATTAAATACTAAATTCAATGAAAGCTATTTTGTATCGCCACCATTCTCTCATATTTTTCAGCAATTTCATCTCCAGTGTTTTGTGAGATTAAAAATGATAACATATTCATAATGATAACTTTATATTGCTTTTTTAACCACTTTTACCATGGTGTAATGTCTCTACATTTCTCTGTTAATGACTCTGTGGGGACGTGTGGCACGTGAGTTTGATTATTTTATGAGCAGGATCATTGTATTTTATTGCTACCATAAAAGTCAGTGTTTCCCTTATTTTCCTAATGGCCGCAGTGGGCCTTTCCGTGATTGAAGGACACAGTAAAAGTGTGATTAGGGGAAATGGAGCACGGCTGAGGAGGCTCCGTATACAAGGAAGGAGAAGGGGAGATCGAGAGATAAAGAGGTGGGCTGGAAGACTAAACTAAACCTCGATTACAGTGACGAGTGGGGTTGAGTTATTAAGACCAATTATGTTTAAAGTGAGCTCCACTGAAAAGCTTAACTCTCTGAATCCAGTCTTTCCATAAAGGAGGGAATTTTTTTGTCTTGAGAATTTATTTTTGGCTGCCCTCCCCTGTCTATATTGTAACATTGATTTAGCATTTTCTGCTCTATTGTGTAGATGGTTTGTGAGAGTGGCTGTGTGGTTATTGTCATGCTGACACCTCTTGCTGAAAACGGGATCAAACAGTGTCAACAGTATTGGCCTGATGAAGGCTCGGACCTCTACCACATATATGAGGTAAAGCTCCTGTGGGCACTGGTTTTATGTTTGTGAGTGATGATTTTTTAATTATTATTATTTCAGGCTTTTAATATACCTTACCTAAATATAAAGACAATGGACCCTTTTCACAGACTGTGATGATGCGTTTCCACATCTATTAACCTTAAATTAGCAATGTTTTTTTATATATTATCTTTAAAAAAAAAAAATATATATATATATATATGTATATGTATATGTATATGTATGTACGTTCATAACACATTCATATAGTTTGTTTTATATTACCTTGGCATTAAAATTCAGAAAACTATTAAACGCTGCTGTGTGAGTTTCTAATAAAAGTGAGTGAGTGACAGGGATTAACAGCAAATTTGACATCTCTCTCTTCTAACTACCGTAATTAATCTCAATGTTTTTTTTTTTCTTCTCTCTTTTGGAAAATCTTAGAAATGCTATCGTGGATTTTTCCTTTTGCTGTTGGAGTAAATGGGATCTCAAAAATATATTTGTTGTAGTTTCCATTTACCATTAGAGAAGTTCACCAACTATGACAACTTCTACTTCTGAGAGCCCTGGAAGTGTGAAAATGTTCCATAATTACCCTATTAGTTGTGCCAAAATAACAGTCTTTCCTACAAGCTTTGTCTGTGTTTGTTAGCACTATACATGCTGAATCTAAAAAATCTTAAATTCGATTTTGAACCTTGACAACTTCATGCCTATTATATTACAGGATGTTCCAGTGATAGTGTAAAATCACACTCTCCTTATGTTCTTGAAGGTAAATCTGGTCTCTGAGCATATCTGGTGTGATGATTTCCTGGTGCGCAGTTTCTACCTGAAGAACATCCAGACTAATGAGACCCGCACAGTCACTCAATTCCACTTCTTGTCCTGGATGGACCAGAATGTTCCAGAGTCAGCTAGAACCTTGCTGGACTTCCGCAGGTATGTGTCCAGCTGCTGTATGAATGCTTACCTATGCAGTTTTCGTCTTAATCAAGGTTTGGGCCAATGTACTTACTGTATTTTCCTAGCAAGTTTTTGTTCATTTACCTTCAGCCTGTAGGTTTAGAAAGAACAGAGAGTATGTTTTTGAAGAAATAAAATCTAGCCCTTTAGTTCAAAGACTTTTTTGTATTCCAGATCCTTATATGTGTGCATGGTAGTCCCTACACAATAATCTCTATTAAATTAAACACTCCAATTGAATGTGAAATGTTCAGCATTAAAACAGTAGTGAAAGGAAAGCCAACGGCAGTATATGCCTACCTCATTTTTCACCTGCTGTGAGCGTTCTGAAGAAATGCAATAGGCCTCTGGGGTAAAACCTTAAAGAAATTTAACAACCCTGGCACAGGCGGATATATACCTGCAATAGGATGATCCATTTTGGTCTTCTAGTTTCGTTGTTCATGCTCAAGCAGAGTTAACCAATTTTAGCAGATGTTCTGCTGTGCTGTTACATTTAGTTTATTAATCCCACTACTTCACCACGGAATGTAGGGAAATGATGTTGGCATGTTACATTTCAGACTGTCTGCTTTGTATTTTTAGAGTCTTTTATTTTTAGAGTCTTTTAGATCTTTTGGAGAATTTCCTGTTGTTGACTCAGAGCTCTGTGCAGCTCACTCTGATTTGCTTACATTCATGAATTATGGTATATCCATCATTTATGTAACCATTTTACAGATAGAGGGGAGCAGTATGCTTTCGGTTTCAAATGGTTCTCCTTATAGCTACTATACACAGTGTATTCTTTGGGCAAATGTCTTATTTTTTGTATGTGCAGGTGAATTAAGAGTTACCTGTCATATGAGATTAAAATGTATGTGCTGACATTTCTAAAGCGTCAGATTTGCAGTGCTGATTCTGTTGTTGGAATCATGGGGAGACTGTTGGATCATGCACAAAGCATTTAGATCTTGAATGCTGATGCTGGATCTTGTGCCCTGATAAATAATAGGGTGATAAATGTGCCCTGATAAATGAATAGGGTGGGTCTGATCTGCTATCTGCAGTCTCGCTGATGATTGACATATTATCCTTGATTCTGACTTATCACTCCCATTCTGAGACCCAAAGTGTTCTGAATATTCTTTTCACTGTAGAAAAAAAAATCTCCCAAAGTTTCAATGACACCTTGAGCATTGAGGCTTTGCTGAGATGGTTTTAACCCTGGTGCTTCTCTTTGACTTGCTCTGGTTTCTGTTGCCATTCTGAATATCTCCCTAAAGGCCTGTGACACAGTCTTGTCTCATACACTTCCATGACTCACACAGAATCTGTCAAACGCTGCTCACTCACCTCGCTTGTTTTTCCGTTGGCCAGCTAATTAGCGGTTGCCAGTGTCATTTTTGTGATGTTGCAGCTAGTTATATGAGCCCAGTTGCATAGTCACAAAAGTGATCATTGGAAACTGTATCTCCTCTTCCAGGCCCTTGATTTTTCCTTGCCTCCCCACCTGTATCTCAAACTCACCAGATGTCCCTGTTTCTTGCACTCACCCACCCTTTTTCTCTGCCCCTCTGTTTACCTAAAAACACACGCTGCTGCCCTAATGCCCAATGCATGATGGTCCCCTCTGCACTCTTTCAGATCTGCCCCATCTTAAAGAAAACTGATAGTTGCATAGAAGCAAATATTTAAAGCACTTTTATTACACATTTCTTGTGGAGGAAACATCAGACTTTATTTTATATTTATTTCAAGGTCCAAAATGAATTTTTTATTAAAACCATTTATTTCCCTCATGCTTTTTTTTTTTAATTAATATTACAATCAAGGAATGTTTCACATTTGTGTTGCTAAAAGAAAAATAAAACTTTAGGCATCCGTCTCATGGTAATTTTTCCACAGAATTAAAAGTCTGTAGATGATATGCGAGTAATGAGATTTTTTTTTTCTTTAATAGTTTTTGTTTCTTTTATTTTAATTGAGCATGTCACTTACATCAGTGTAGGTAAGATAACCATTCATATACTTTGACTTCAACCATGTAACCTGTTGTAGTTCCTTATAAAGTTAAAGTTAATAATTTCTGTTTTATAAACTCACCAAAGCCAATTGTTTTTGCATTTGGTTCTTGACGAGTGTTAATTTCGTACACTGTTGTCTTTAAATAACATTATATAAATGCGTGCATCGGGCTTTAGAATTGAAAGTCATCCCATGAGCGTTTAGATCTGATCTTAAAAACCTCTTTTGGTATCTCTTGTGAAATCAACCTTGAGGTATGCACAAAGCAGGGTTTTTGGGGTGGGGTGGGGGTGGGGGGCGGGGGGTTGTAAGCGAAACAATATGAGTTAACACAGTAGTTTTCCATGGCAACAGCACCTATGTGCCTTAAATTTTTGCAAGGCCTTATGGTTTTGAAGGCATTATAATTGTGCAAGGTTAATGTGTTTTGGATGACACCTAACCACACATCATTTACTTAATGACTTGTCACAATGTGGTGGATTTAACAACCTCTCCATTTGTTTTATTTGTTTGACATTGACCTTTTGGTTTATTATGATTTTGATAGACACATGTTAGAAAGTCCTCTGGTTTGACAGTAACGTGTTTGATATTAAGCAATGTCATATGTTTATATGTGCTCATATTTATAAGAGTTTCTAAAATGGCAATTGAATAAGTTCGTGATCTACTTATTTGCACTTCCAATATTAATGACCTCTTTTTTTCTGTCATTACAGAAAGGTTAACAAGTGCTACCGGGGCAGATCTTGTCCAATAATTGTTCATTGCAGGCAAGTACAACAATAATATAAAAAATGCATTTATAAGCTAGTTGCATCAGTCTAAAATACTATGACACTATACTAATACTAATGTGTGTGTGTGTCTAAATTATCAGTGATCTTAATCGTCTCTCAGATTCTGGTAGAAAAGATCCACTGGTAAAATAAATGAAGTATTCAGTGAATATCTACATGGCTGATGGATGGCCTTTACGCTCAGTGTGAATCTGAGGAATGTGAGAGTCTGTGTATACTAAAATAGTGGCCAAATGATCTTTAACACCAGGGGTTAATGACCAACATGTTGTGCATTGTGGGGAAGACAGGCTTCACAGCTGCCATGCATATTTGAATAATTCAGAATGATATCAGGGGAGTGGGAAGAGTTTCCCTAAAGAGTTCTCATTTCCCAAACCTCCCACTTGAATGTGTTTTGTGTGTGTGTGTGTGTGTGTGTGTGCTTAATCCTGAGCAACCTCAGAAAGTGGCATACACACACATTTATTCAGTATTACACTCATAATATTCAGTTGCATGTCTTGAAAAGTAACCTTGATTTCAAATCAGAATGCAGTTTACCATCCAACTGCGTCTGAGTTTGGCTGGTTCTCGCAATTTAGTAGATTGCGCAGAAGGTAAAACAAGTTTTAAATGCTTTTGCAAGTCACTTCAAATTCCCACTGTGTTCAGACGCTTTGTTTTTGCTCTTAAAAGAACTGTGTTGTGTTATTTCATTTTTTTTGCAAATACAGTTTAGTTCTGCAAAGAACAGGAAAACCAGACAGCAGACGTCTTTGACAGAATTATTGTGAATGCTGAAGGATGATGCAACAGCAAACAATGCAGCTGAAACACAACAGAGAAACGAACGCTTTGTTTTTGTTTCAGCAGGCACACTTGAATGTTCATTCAGACAGGTCTGGTCTTTTCTCAGAAGAGATAACGAGTTTCTGTCTTCATTTGCAGCGATGGCGCTGGAAGGAGTGGAACTTACATCCTGATTGACATGGTTCTAAATAAAATGGCCAAAGGTAAGAGCACATGGCACAGATGAGGAGGTGCTGTCATAACACACAACGTTTCGCACAAGGAAGGTCTCGTCGTGCATTAGGGGAAGATTGAGGTCTTTAATGAATGGCCAAGGTTCTCAAAAGGCTAATGCGAAAGACAGAGAAAGGACAGAGACAGAGTATGTGATTTTTGCGGCTCGTGTCATACCGCATGTCTCCTTGTGTTTGCAACTGTGAGGGTTTTAGCTTGGTTTACTACAGTTGACTTTTTCACATGCAAGTATTAAACATTCAGTGCTGCATCGAGTTTAACAAGTCATGTGAATCCAGCCACGGAGACAGAAGGTGCCTTCATAACCTGTCCAATCATTTCTCCATTCTTCCTGACCCCATCTGGTGAGGTCACCCATGCATTTGCCTCCCCCCATCCTTCTCTATTCTGGTCACCAGTCCATCCCTACTCCTGACCCGACCATGGTCTGTAGCGTTTTCCATAATGAGGAATCAAAGGCCAGATGCAAGGGAGAGTGTCTCCGCATTTGTGCCTCTTTCCCATGCTGTCAGGGGCCCGGAGCCTCGGTGGCCCCCTCCATCTCCCTTTTGTCTGCCCTCTGGGAAGGAGGAGGGGCTCCCAGGTTGCCCACTTTTCAGTGCTCACTTGTGTGATCAAAGCCCCAGAAAGTCCTAAACAACAGAAATCTCCCTCTTCCATTCCCCTTTTCTCTCTCCTGTTCTTCGTGTCTTCCTCCTCTCTCTCTCGCTCCCTTTTTTCTCAAACACCCCGTCGTATTTTTCTTTCGCTTTTCTTCATCTCTAGGAATGAATTGTAAATTAGTGAAGAATGCTGTTTTAATTCCAAAGCCTTTTCTTGTTAGATGCCCCCTCCTTTGCTCGCTCTCTTGTCTTTCCCCCTAAACTTCGGAATCTTGCACTTCTTAAGACATGAAAGTGTTGGAGCACTTTTGAGGCTGGAACCCCAGCTGCACTCGCTCCCTTTCAGAAAGTGTCTATAAGGATTCCCGCATTTTTCTTTCCTTCGCCCTCAAACTCTCTCGCTCTCTATCAATCTGTGCAGAAGGGAGGGGGTAGTCTTTCTTTTCTTTTTGAAGAATGAATGAATGAATGAGAAATAAGGCCTTGTTAGACCTCGACTGCTCTCCGCTCATTTATGTGGAGAAATAACAATGGACCTGTAGAAAAAGTCATTCAAGCTAAAGGTGAAAGGGGGATTTCTCCTAATCAGCCTTTTCACTCTTACTGCCATGTGAAAAATTTCATATTCACTTACAGTTTTGGTTCAGAAAGTAGTGCAGATGTAAATTTGTATTGACAAAAACAACAGCTCTACATGAGTGCAGCCTTATGTAAACTGTGTGCAGGTTCAGTATCTGTGTTTTCATGAGCTCTACTGGTATTAACCACTGTCTCAGAATCTCTTATTTTAGGTGATTATTCATGGTAGAATTAAAATTATCTACAGGTCTTGGCTAAATCTGCCGAATATAAACTAAGTATAAAAGACTGTAAAAACAGGTGACCTGCAAAATCTAAATGAATGGCTTTATTCAAGTCAAAAATATTATGTAATATAACTGAATCAATCTGACTGAATCAATCTGACCTGACTATTTTAAGAGTCAGATTGGGTAGAAAAAACTCAAAGCACCTCACATTTTCTGTGCTTTTTTAGGCATGTACAATTACTGTTTTTATAGATTAGATTTTTATCACTGCTATTATTGTATTTATTTTTTTTTAAAGTGACTTATTTTCTTCTAGAATAAGCCATGAAGTTATTAACTAAAACAAGGCTAGCTAAAAACAAGGTAGAGACACAGTCTATAAGCTTTGTCCAACATTGTAAAGGGAATGTAATTCCACAGAAAAAGCGGGCGCTAAAGAGAGAGTGCAAGATGATCTATGATTATGGAGTACTTTGAACTCATGTTATGTGTCTCTGTTGCAGGTGCTAAGGAGATTGATATTGCTGCTACCCTGGAGCACCTGAGGGACCAGAGATCAGGCATGGTACAGACCAAGGTAAGACACCATGTAAAACTCTGCTTGAATGGTGTGGAAGTCCGAGATGATGGGCAGGTATTTAGGGTCTCTGTTAAAGATTAAACAAATCTTAAAAAAAAATAATTGTTTTAAATTTAGAAATTAAAGATTTCTTCTGTGAGAAAACTAAATCTAATCTTAAAATCTAAATGCAGGCTTTTTTCTGTAGCACTGCTGTTATTGTTTTGAAATGTTCTCCAATGGATATGTCTGTTCAAGGCAGATAAATCCTTGTATTTGATGCATTTTTAGCATTTTAACAATAATTCCATATTAATGGCAATATTATTATTCAATTTAATACAGTGATAAGCTCATCATCAGAAGGGAAAGTTCAGTCAGCTGCCCTTTAAGCGACTGAGTATAAGTGCAATTCCACCTGCACACATCGTCCCGAGACGTCCTGTACAATACGACCCTAACCACACTGCTACAATTAACATCGATTTGTAATCTAAAACCACATAGTCAATAAAGTACCAAAAGCCAGGCTCAGAAAATTAACTTGTAATTGATCACTTCCTCCATGACCAATACTTCGTGTTGATGCGGCAAGCAACAATGTTTTGAACATCAGCCAGAAGGGCCTAGAGAGTCTGATACAAGATCTATTTTTTTTAATAAACTATGCCAAAGAAACATATATTTAGCATTCTACTGTTTGGAGATAACAAGATGAGCAAATGACAGTCCCCTCCTCAGAGCCACACTGAATTACATTAGCTGCTGTTTATAAAAGATAAAGACCTGACTACCTGGTTAGCCACTGAAAACTGAGATATTAAGCCTCTATGGATTATGTTGAAAAGATGCCAATCTATTCAGAGAATACTGAAAATAGTGAATATATAAGAGGTATTATAAAAGTAGTAAATATCAGTAGAATATTAGCTTCCTCTGTGTTAGGTTATTTTTATACATTTTTCATATATTCAGGTTAGTGAATACATTTTGTTGGAGCAATCAACCTACTTTACAGAATAATCAGCTATTCATTTTTTTTGTTCATTTATCATGGTGTGCAACAAATTCCTAATATTCGAGTCGTTTCCTCAGCCAACAGTACATTTAATGGTTTCTAAAGTAACTGCAAGTTTACAAAATGTACCAACAACTGTCAGAATGAAAAAGATGTTTTTAAAAAGTCATGATGGAAAAAATGACCGCTATTATTTCCTGAGCAAGTCCTCATCTTCCTTATCAGTTCCTAGTCACATTGTAGTTAGCCTGTGACTGTAGCTTTCTAACTCTGTGATGTAATGCCTGACTCACCAATAAGGATGTTTGGATCTTTCTGTTTTGTTTCCACTTATTTATGAGCAAAATATTATTAGTGTTACTAATATAATTATAATCATGTCATTTAAATGAATGAGAAATCCTTTTTAATCACTTTTAAATTAACCATGAAACTTTTCATTACAAAAAATGTATATATTTAAAGGGGTCATATGATGTTGCTAAAAATAACATTA